TATATATATATATATATATATATGTATTTATGTGATGATCTACCTGTCAAATGAAAGATCTTCTAGTCTAGTTTCTAACGCTTTAAACCGTTCATTATTTGGACATTCCTACAAGAAGTTGTGACCAAATTACCAAAAACTAGAAAAATATGATTCTGCGACCAATTTTGCGATCGCAGAACCATTATGCGATCGCAGAAGTGGTTGTGCGGCTGCAAAATGATCGCAGACCTGGCCAGTGCAGCCCAGTTTTGGGCATCGATTCTAGAATGCATTTTGTGACTCGCATACCCATTCTGCGGTCCATTATGCGACCGCAGACCTGATTTCGGAGGGTTAATTTTCTATTTTCATAACTCGACCCCAATTTGATAAACATGCTTTGGGGCTTATTTTGGGGAAATCATCTGAGGTTTTTAGAGAGAAGTGAGAGTGTTCTAGAGAGAGAAAGTAGATGAAGTGTTTTGTTCATTAAGATCTTGCCCAAGCTTTGAAATCCGACAAGGAAATCTCACAAGATCTCCATCTAAGAGGTAAGATTCAAACCCCTAATCTTCAATTTCGAGTTTGGGGTAAAAGATGGGTGATTGGGAGTATGATTATTGGTTGTAAGAGTATTATTTATACATTCTTGTACTAATAAGGTTTGTGGGAAGATTGTTTAGCTTAAATAAGTAAAGATTGGGTTGTGGAGTAAAGAAAATCTTGTAGAAGAACCTTGTAGTTAAATTTGCACACCTAGTGTTTGATAAAATGCTCAAATGAGCTGAGACCATGAATATATTCCTAATTATGGTTCAATTTTGTTATGTCTCAAAATAGATTGGGATTGCTAGAATTTCCGGAACGTTGTAGTAATTTAAGGAAATCTCAAAGCGATGTATGTTGGCTAAACTTTCTCTCTTAGAATTGAAATTTGTGATGTTCCCGTAAGTTCCAAGTATGGTTGTCTCAAGTTCCTTATTCTGTGTTTCGAGTTGTGCCCAATAAATATGATTTTCACGAATAAGCAGAGAGATGAGAATTGTGTATTCAAAACTTGTTCCGAATGTTCGTATCATATTATGTTATCCTTTGGGAATGTGTTCGAAAATGACATGTGTATTAAAATGCCATGTCTTTGAGTCGTGTTCCAAATGAAGGTTATGATGCCAAATTGTGTGAGAAAATCTTAGTGATCTTAAGACTCTTAATTACTCATATGTATACCTAAAGTCTTGATTCGAAATGTCTTATTGTTGATAATCTATAAAGATGGTTGGAAGTGAAATAAGTGAATTGGGGTTATAGAGTGTGGCCAACGTGCCAAGAATTTAAGTTATGATTATGGCTAGCGGTGCAAATGATTTGAGAGGATGCGATAAAGAATATGAAATGAGCCTCAACTCAATTTTTTAAAATGACTTCTAAAATAAAATTGCCTAAGAGCTTTTCTACTCAATTCGTGCCCATAAGTGGCTGCTTTAACTAATGCTTTGATTTATAAATATATCCAGTGTGATCCGAGTTCTTACATACTAGTGTGTTGAAATTGTTCATTGTCATTTCTAGGGAAGAGTATTGCAAGAATAAATGGTGTATTGATTATTTTTTATTTTTATGAGTGTTCTATTGCTGGTCGGTATGCCCCATTCTTTTAGGAAGAAACCATTTGTGTTTAAAGTTCCCATTACAAATGGATTTGAAGTATATAATTTATGAAATATTGTATATGTTGGTATTTGATGGTGATCTTTGAAATTGAAAGAGGTGAAAGTATGGAATATCAAATACGGCCATCGTGCCAGGAATAAAGAATCTTGTGAATGGCCAAATAAGCCAAGGAAATATTGTTGTTGTGAATGACTGGAAATACTAATGAGAATTTATACAATGTGAAAGATATTGAGGTGAGTACAACTGTATTTATGTTATCTTAGTGTGCAAATCAAATCAAAAATATTTTTGGGAGCATCATTAGCAAAACTGAGGAAGGGTGGGTCATAAGGCCCACACCTGAAACTATACGTGCCGGTGTAGGGGTGGATTGTGATTATTCCCCTTAGTTGGGATGAAAATAAAATATTGGAGAAATTGTGATATTATTCCCCTTAATTGGGATGAAACTGGTAACAATTGTGGATTGGAAAAGTCAATTCACACGGCATATGTGGGGAGGCGGCCTAGCTGATCGGGTGGAGATCGGACGCCATGTTGCGCACATGGTGGTAGTACTCTTGGTAATAACTTTCTTTCGCATCACATGTAAAATGACATTGTTCGTGGGAAGATGGCCTAGCCGATCGGGTGTGATCGGACTCCTTGATAACAAAGACAGTGGTATATCAGTGCTAATGATCTCCCAACCAAAATTGTATATGAAGTTTGTATTTTGAAAATTAGTATGTTTTAACTGGATATTTGGATATTGTTGATTGTGACTTGCTGTTTCTATGTGTTGCCTTTTCTTATATGGGCATTCTATTTTGAAAGAGGTCTTTTAGCTATACATACTAGTGCTATTCAACAGTACAAACATCCTTTTGTCGGCGGCGCTGCATCTTTAATTGATGCAGGTGGTTCTACAGCAGACGGCATTGATCAGTGATAGCAATACACTCTTTGCAGCTGATTTGGTGAGCCCCACTTCATTTCGGGGTCATGTATCTTTTGTTTCTCATGTACTGTATTTTGAGGTATAGCCGGGGTCTTCTTGCCAGCATTTCCATATTACTCTTATACTGTACTTAGAGGCTCCGTAGACAGGTTGTGGTTGATGTTGGGAATTGAAATAGAACTATTGGTATGTTGAAATCATGTTTTTTTATTAATTCTATAAATTCGTAATATTTTGAAAATTATGAATGAAGCTTCTAATGAGAATGAAAAGGAAGTTGTTAATAAAATCTTTTTAGTGTTTGGTTAATGGTGTACATCTCCTCTTTATTCATGGATGAGTTTGGGTAGAAGGAAATCTAATAGGCTTACTCGGCCGGGTTCTCTCGGTTGAGCTCCGGTCGCGCTCCCCGAGTTTGGGCCATGACAATCGCGTTCACGATTGGGTATCGCGTTGGCGAAAGGAAAATAGCTGGTGTGGATTTTTGCCTTCACGTTCGCGAAGGGAAGCTCGCATTCGCGAAAAGTTCGCCCGGTAAAGCATCACGTTCATGAGCTGTATCTCGCGTTCGCGAAAGGAAATGTTTGGGCAATGTTTGGACTGCACAATTTTGTGCTTCGCGAACGCGAGGGACTGTCGCATTCGCGAAGAAGGAATGCCTGGACAGAATGTGTAAGTTCTGAACCCATTTTCCTTTTTTGACAGATTGGAGCTTGGGAGGAGGCGATGTTTCGGAGATTTTAAAGGAAAACAACGAGGTAAGTGTTCTTAACTCATTATTGGTGAAATTATTCGAATCCATGGTTGTTTTTAACATTTAATGAGTGAATTAAGTTAGAAAGTTTAGAAAGCCCTCTTGGTTTAATTTGAAGATTTGATGGTCTAGTTGATGTCGGAATTAGGTAAAATTGGTATGGTTATACTTATAGTTCAATGGGCTTTCGGATTTGGTACCTTTTGTCGGGTTCCGAGATGTGGGCCACACAGGTGATTTTTGGGTGAAATTTCGGATTCTTGATGGAGAATTTGTATTTTCATACGGAATTAATTCCTATAATTTTTATTGACTGAATCGGATTAATTGTGGCTAGATTCGAGGCGTTTGGAGGTCGATTCGCGAGGCAAAGGTATTGCAGAATAAAGAACACGGTTTGAGGTAAGTAATGGTTCTAAATTTTATCCTTAGGATATGAAACCTCGGATTATATGTTCTGTGACTGGTTATGAGGTGACGCACATGCTAGGTGACGGGCGTGTGGGAGTGTACCGTATGAATTGTGACTTGGTAAATTCCATGGAACTGTGTAGTTGAATAATCTGTTGACAGTCGTACATTGTTTCACGTATTTAGAGAAATTAATCGATAAATCATGTTTAAATTATATGTTGACATTGTTGGGATCCATAGAGGTCATGTACATGTTGAATTATCTACTAAATTGTTGTTTCATACTTAGTCGCGATTTTTACTCGTATATTACATCTTAGTGTCTCTTATTCATTATTGATGCATCATATCATTGTTGTTGGGCTGCTTATCATGATTTGTGAGAGCCCGAGAGACTGGAGAGGTAGATGACTGAGTGAGGCCGAGGGCCTAATTGTAAGAATATCCATGAATGACTTATTATAGCGCTTGGGCTGAAGGAGCCCCTCCGAATTCTGTACACACCCCCAAGATAGATTGTGAGGTTAGAGTGAATGGGAGGGCTGAGTGACTGTTACTCTGAGAGGATGCATTGATTTCATTATTTCTGCATTTCAATTGTCATATATCACTGTTTTGAAAATTTCTGAAAGACATTATCTTCTGTTTCAGTCGAAGTTGATATGAAATTACTCTAGAATTTTAAATGTTGAACTTGAGAGCATGCCTACCCTTTTATGTTGAAAATTACTATATTTAGACTTAGCTGTGAAGCTCGTCACTACTCTCAATTCTTATTTATTATTGTTACTTACTGAGTTGGTTGTACTCATACTACACCCCGTTGATACCCAAATTTTCCCTCATAGTATATATACTTTCAAAATATAATTTTTGCATCACTACTTAATTTACAAGATTTATACAAATATTTTCTAATTTTTTCCATGATTCTTAGAGATTTAAAATTAGTTTTCTTGCATTTAAATTACTTAAATATTATCCCTTTAAATTATTTATCATGACTTAATCATCCAAATTTATCATTTTATATCCATGTGTGTGTTTAATAATATTTTACTTCATTTTACATAATTACATCTATATTTTAGTTATTTACGTAATTTTTGTAATAATAGCCTATATTCATGCATAATTACGTTTTATTTACATTATTTGTGCCAAACAGACTTTTATATTTTATAATTATACGTTATCATTTTAGTGTATAAAATAAAATATTTAATTATTTATTATGAATTATTTTTATTTAAACAATATTGTATTTAAAAGATAGCCTAAGTTATACATATTTTGGACCACATTAGTGACCCAAAAATGCTCAAATCCCTGGCCCAATCTCCCTAGCCCAAGCCAAACGACCCCTTAATCTCAACCCGGTCGGTACCCGCTTAAACGACCCGCCATAGTCCCATTTTGATCATGGCCATTGATCTCAAATGATCAACGACCCATAATAATTCCTCCACTTTCCTTATATCCCCTCACCCAAACCCTAACCCTATTTCCCCACTCCAACCGCCTATAAACCTTCTATATTTCGTCTGTCTCTGAGAAAACCTAATAGCCGCCTTTTGATTTCTCTCCGATTCCAACCCAAAAAAATGGAATCAATCCGATTCACTTACCTATTTTGTGATACTTTACTATTGTATGTGTGTCTATGGTGTTACTTAATCATTGCCTTATTTTTAGCAAGAACTACCTTTCAAAAGCAGGCATGATTGACTTCGATTTTGCGAAGATCTGGACGATCTTTCATCTATATACACTCTACAATGGACGATTCTTGCATTATTGGTTTGATTCAAGATCGTTGGACCTAACTAGGGTTTGAGATTTTCCTTTTTCCTTACTGATTTTGATTGCATGTGATATATTCTTTCCTTTCTTGAGTTTGATTGATGATTTTCCATGTTCGTCCGCTCAATTTAAATACTATATAAATCGCTCCCCAATTTCCCCTTTGGACAAACCTAATTACTGCTAGTATAATCACTATACTCTTCTCTCACTTGTTCACTTCTTCTGAGATACTTGAATATTTTTTGGAATCGTTGAATCCTTGGTCGGTTGAAATCCAAGGCCATAATATTGTTAAAACAACCTCCTCTGGTGCAAGCACTGCTCGGATCCCTTCTTGAGGCTCTTGTGAACTCTGAAGTATCGGGGATCCGGGGTTCTCTTGCTACCAGTATTCTAACTCCTCATTCTTTTGTTCGTTTAACTTTGCTACTGGTTAGTGTCCTTAGCTCTTGCAATGTTAACTATTTTCCTTTCTGTTTATCTATGACGTATGTGTTCTATGTGTTAATGTTGTTTAAATTCTATAAGCATGATTCAGTTTCCCTGTTATTCGTGGATCCCTGATATTGTACTGTTATGATATTGTTTTATAATCCTCTGCAATTCCATATTCTTTATTAGTTGAATTCAGTAGGCTTTAGCAAATGTAAGATGCTTTCATTATTGGAATGGATTCTAGCTCTCTTAGGTGTTTCTAGACTAATGTGGGTTCTCTACATTGTCCTCTATCTGTATGTTTGTATTCTAGACCTTGTTAAGTTCTTCTTGCCCAATATGATTGATCGTTGAGACTGTATTAATTAGCTAAATCATGTTTCCATTTAAGTTCTGTTGCATGTTTTGTTTAGAATGGCTTCTAGGGCAAATTGCTATGTTAGTTTCTCTACCCCTAGGTAATTGGTACGAATGGTTATGCCTGCCTATTTCCTCCCCTTTTAAGTGATGTATGTTCTCACGAGTGAGGACACTTTTGAGGTTTATGGTAAACCATGCCATTAGTTTGTTGCTATGCTGCTTATGGTCATCTTCATGTGAAATTGCAAATCCCTCTAACTATGATTGTTTCGAATAAGGCTCACTTGTTTAAAATCTTTTTCTGACATTTTGGTTAATGTCTTGCACTAAACTTGATTTCTGAGAAATTAGTATATGTGTGTGTTTGTCCTGTCAACTCTACAGACTTGCCTCTTCAGCCTTCTTAATGTGTAACTATGCTTAGTGTGCTAAACCCTTCCCTTTGTTGAATAATTGTTCAGTATGATGTTAGTTCTTCTATGTCAAACTTGCTATGCCAAAGTTGTCTACCTAGTTGGTATGCTTGTAATGACCTAGCCGGTCGTTTAGAAAGTAATAGTCCCGATCCCCTTTTTACAGTTTCCCCCGCATCTTTTTCTGGTTAAGTGACTTGCCGGGAGGTGTTGTTTTTGATTTCAGAGTGTTTTGGAACACTTAGTCCCTAAAACGGGAGCTTAAGTCTTAGGATTTTTGATTGTAGTCGTAACTGTGTGAAGACGACTCCATAATAGAGTTTCGTCAATTCCGCTAGCTCCGTTGGGTGATTTTGGACTTAGGAGCGTGTCCGGATTGTGTTTTGGAAGTCCGTAGCCCATTTAGGCTTGAAATGGCGAAAGTCGAATTTTTGGAGATTTGGACCGGTTGTGGAAATTTCGATATCGTGGTCGGATTCTGATTCCGGAAGTTGGAGTAGGCCCGAAATGTTGAATATGACTTGTGTGCAAAATTTGGGGTCAATCGGACATGGTTTGGTTGGTTTCGGCATCGATCATCGAATTTGGAAGTTTCAAGTTCTTTAGGTTTGAATCGGAGGATGATTTGTGATTTTAGCATTGTTTGATGTGGTTTGAGGGCTCGACTGAGTTCGTATGGTATTTTAGGATTGGTTGGTATGTTTGGTCGAGGTCACGAGGGCTAGGGTTAACGGGTGAAAGTTTGGACTTAGAAGAATTTCTGACATGCTTGTTTCTCGTGTTTTCGCACTTGCGGTGGGGAGTCCGCAGGTGCGGCCCCGCAGAAGCGAGGCTGGGATCGGAGGTGCACCTTTAGTCCTGGGGGTCAGTGGTCGCAGATCCAACGAGTGAGCCGCAGGAGCAGAGCCGCATCTGCGGAAGGGCAGTCGCAGATGCGGAGATGAGAATGACCCACGGTTCCGCAGAAGCGGACGAGTAGACGCAGAAGCGCATCCGCAGATGCAGACTTAGGTGCGCAGGCGTGGACTATGGAGCTTTAATGAAAACTCGCAGGTGCGGAGTCCTAGCCATAGAAGCAGCACCGCAGGTGCGATGATGAGGTCGCATGAGCGGGTTCGCTGGGCAGAAAAGAGAGAGTTTCGAGGGCTTGATTCATTTCTCCATTTTTGGACTTGGAAGCTCGAAAATTGGCAATTCTTTGAGGGATTTTCAGAGAGAGCTTTGGGGTAACGATTCCTAACTCGTTTTTGGTTGTATTTCATTAATCTCTAGTTGTTTTCTCCATTTATTTTCGGATTGGGATTGAAAAGTTGGGAAAATGGGGGAAACGTTCCCTAACCGAATTTCTGAGTTTTGATTGGGATTTAAACATTGGATTTGGTTAATTTTGGTACGAGTGAACTCGTGAGTGAATAGGTGTTCGTATTTTGTGACTTTTACCCGATTCCGAGACGTGGGCCTGGGTCGACTTTTAGGGCGAATTTCGGAGTTTTTATTAAAGTATTGATTTCATTATTTAGATGAGTCTATTATGGTTGTATTTGTGACATGTAATTACTTTTGGCTAGATTTGGGC